ATATATATATATATATATATTTATATATATAATTATATATATATATATATATATATATATGTATTATGTATAATATTTATACGTCCTTATGGAACAATATTTCGAAACTCTCTCTTTCTTTCTTTCTTTTTTTCTCTTTCCTTCCTGCTCTCTCTCTCTCCTTCCCTCTCTCTCTCTCTCTCTCTCTCTCTCTCTCTGTTCGGGTTCTCTCACAAGCCTGCTTTACGTTGCGCGAACGTGCATCGCGCGTCACGGCGAATCGGGAAAAGGAAGAAACGTATGCAAATACGAAACGTAGCCTCTTCGAGCGACGGACGAGTCGAGATGTGGAGTTTCCCGTAAATATCATCGATCGAAACAGAATGAATATGCTTCATTCCGAAGCGCGGAGATGACGACAAAGAGAGTCGCGTTGTTCTACAACTATACACGCGATGCACTCTGTCCTCCTCACTTGCCGATCGTGAAACAAAGTTGATCGCATCCGTGACGTCGAGACAATAGAAACGCAAGTCCAAGATCGCGCGAGAATGTAGGATCTTCTCTTCAGCTCTGCGCCCTGCTGCTCTCGAGGAAGCTATCGCGTTTGTCGATCGTTCCAAAGAGATCGGGGAACGAGCGTGTGACCTCCCGGTGACATCGACGCGCCAACGAGAAAGTCACGATGGAAACTCGAAAGACGCTAAATCGCGCGGCTCAACGTTCGCCGACCTGCTCGATCGCGAGAAGAATGAATCCTGACGCGTTCGCTCTCGGGGACGAATTCTTGATCGTCTTTCCGTCGGCCTCGTCGGACCTTCAGTCCGAGTGACACCTTTTCGCGCGACGCGAGTAGGTCAACGAGAGAAGGGAAAAAGGAGGGGGGGAGAGAGAGAGAGAGAGAGAGAGAGAGAGAGAGAGAGAGAGAGAGAAGGAAAGAGAGAGAGAGAGAGAGAGAGAGAGAAAAGGGAATCCGTGGAAGTTGAGACGCCGAGCATCTCGAGCGATTCGTCTGTTCGCGACGACTCGTCGCGGGAAGCCAAATGCAGATCGAAAGAACGAAAGGGTAACTTCTGAAGGAAGACTTTTGCGCTTGCTAGCTCGCTGTTTAACGGCTATTGCGACGACTCTCTCTCTCTCTCTCTCTCTCTCTCTCTCTCTCGCGGCAACTGCTAGCCCCTTTGCGCGCCGACGCGGCGATTCACCGGAGATCGCTCGATTTTCTCCCCTGTGCCTCGGGACGATCGCCTGTCGCGATATTTCCACGGCCGCGGTCTTCGTTCGTCGCGACGATCTGATGAAACGAAAGGAAAAGCTAGAGAGAGATCTATAGGCGTGCACGCGCGCGTTTCCTTCCTTTCCCCGTTTCGCGACTCTGCGCGACAGGAACTCTCTGGCGGCACTGTTTCTCTGTCTCCACTTTTCTCCTTTCCTTCCTTCCTTCCTTCCTTCCTTCCTTCCTTCCTTCCTTCCTATCTATCTATCTACCTACCTACCTACCTACCCTCCTACGACACGTTGTTTCTCGCCTGTCACCTGAACGTGCGTTCGCACATTCGTGCGTGCGCATTACGAGTGTGTACGTCGGAGAGGAGTGTCGCGAAGGAATATCGACGCGCTGCTGAAGCGATATCGAATCGACGCCGACGACGACGACGACGACGACGACGACGACGACGTTCGCCTCGATCGGCGCCGTCTCCTCCTTCGGAGGAACTCCTCCTCTTCTTTTCCCTCTTCATCTTCCTCGACTTCCTCCTCTTCCTCCCGGCCGCTTCCTCTCGCCTTGTCCGATGCCGACGGCGCGTTCCCAACGTGCGCGGGAATGCGCGTTCGCGCAAAGCTCTCGAATCGAATCCTTCCTCCTCGGCGTCCCCGCGCGGTGCCGGTGCGCGTTAATCGCTGGCGGAATCGGCCCTAAGGCGTCGCAGACGTCGCGATCGCCATCAAAGGCGCCGGCGGCAACGCGACCGGTATGTGGTAATATTTACACTGGGGCCGCATGCACGCACCCTTTACTGCGTCCCTGCACACCGTTACGCGGTTCTCGATCACCTCCACGTTTCCTGCAAATTTACAGAGACATCGGGTCAGTCGGTCATCTCGTGGTCACGGCCAGCGCGAGGGGGAGTAAAGACCCTCCTTTCTTTTCAGCCATTACACGCAATCGAGAGATATGTATTATCTGTACGTGATCAAACGCACATGAAAAAAAAAAAACGGCACAAAAGGACGCTCGGGCCGTGTGATAAAGATAATTAGTTTGTTCCTGTGTCAAAGATCAGAAAGACGCTCTGATTGCGGAGCATTCGTCACACAACGTGTTACACAATTACGCGACGCGTAAATATATTCTCGGTTGTCCCGGCGCGGCGGCGGCGGCGGCGGCGGATCCGGATGGAATTTATGCAAATCCGCGGCAAGTCTCGCGCGCAATCGATGTGTGCTGAGAAGCGTCGCTACTAATTGTTCCAACGAGGCCCACGCCGCCGACGAGTGTTATCTCTCTCTCTCTCTCTCTTCCCGTCACGGCACATCTTGAGCAACATCGATCGCTCATTATCGCTCGCGAAAGCTAATTAACGGCGGTTCTCTCGACAAAAGAGAAATTCTCGTTACTTACACACCCACGCGACGAGGGTCGCGCGCGCGCGCTAAATGAGCGAGAGCGAGCCGCGTTACAACGACACGGTGACATTTAATAAACGCGTCGCGGGATAATGAAGGCGATCGACACGAGACGTCGAAGGCGAGACGTCGGCCGCGAGTGGTGAGCAGGCGAAATGAAAGCGCGAAACGAACCGACGATCGGATTTTCGGAGAGAGCACGACGCGACGGAAAAGAACTGCGCTCGCGCTCGCGCCCGCGCGCGAATGATTTATTGCGCGTAATTGCGACGCGTCCCGCAAGCGGAATTGACGGACTCGTCGGGGAATCGGGCGACGAACGGAAGACAAGGCCATAATCGCCCACGAGACGTCCCGTGCCCGGCCGCGGAGGAATTTCAATAGCTGAATTTCTGCCGTCGCTCGTGCTCTACGCTTATTTCAGCGAAATTGCCGATTTTAGCGGAAACCTCGTCACCCCGTGATACCGATCCGTGACCGGGGAGAAATTTGAAAATCGCTCAGGCGCTCGACGAATATCAATCGGGCGACGGGCGAGCCGGGGTGAGAGAGAGAGAGAGAGAGAGAGAGAGAGAGCGCGTTCTCTCCCCGGCTCTCTGAGATATTGCCTCGTATTCTCGCCGCACCAAACTGATTCGACGTTTCCACACGCGTCGACACTTTTAATACCGCGAGACCGCGGATTCTCTTTTCGTTTTTCGTCGCCGCACATCTCCCCGTCGCTCCGCGTTAATTCAAAGCACCCTTTCTCTTTTTCTCTCTCTCTCTCTCTCGCGCGCGCGCGCCGGTAAACGAGTAAACTCACCGTCACTGAGATGGATAAACTTGCAGGCGGGACGGTTGCACACTTGTCGATTAAAATCTTGGCACACCGGGAGGGTGTCCAGTAACTGAAAGAAAATGTGCCAGGTACTCTTATAGCGAATGAAATCGACCAGGGGTATGCGTTTCGCAAAGAGAGAAAAAAAAAAAGATGAAAAAAAATGAGGAGGAAAACTTATGGTACTGCAGACACGCGCACGCACATGCACACTCGCGAGCGTTCACGCACGCGCGCACTCATTCACGCACTCACGCACGCGGACGTGTGTCTCCACCTCGCTCTCGTTTTGGGTCCGCTCGAAAGTGAAGCCCGGAGATGCCCGTTTTTTCTTTCCTTTCTTCGGCCAAGAATCAATGTCGCTCTCGTTGGCGAGAGGCATGAATGGAAATTAGTCAAGATCGCGGTGCGTTCTTCGCCTCGTTTACCGCCTCGGTGAACTTTCGAGCATCACTCAGGCAGCGCTCAACGAGCACTTTCGCGCGACCATACACACGCACACGCACACGCACACGCACACGCACACACTCGAAAATTCTCCAGTGTTAGAGCATATTCACGGTACATTACATGCTCTAGAAGATCGGTTCATATGTGGATATTGATTAATTGCTACTAATGTGCGAACAATCGGCGCGATTGCGAGTGATGTGTACTCGTGATTCGCGCGAGTCTGCGGCGATCGAAAGAGAAAGAGAGAGAGTGATTTCACGTCACGAGCGACCGGTCTTGCGATGCGATCGCGGCACAGCGCGGCCGTAACGGACGAATTGCGAATTGTGTTGCGCCGAGTGTTCGCACATGCATAATTAGGTGGTAAATTTGCAGTAGAACTTTTTGTTTTCACAAACAGGGCATTTCCTATTTATCGTATGTATATATTGTGGTGTGAAATTAAAAGTAAAAAAGAACCGGCCGGATTACGAGACTGCGAGCGAGCCTCGCGTCTCATCTCGTGTCGACTCTCTACGTCGAATGGATACGTTGTGCGGTTTGCCGGGATTTTGCAAAAAATTGGTGTTTGATTGGGCGAGAATCGAGGGGGATGCGTATTAATAATCGTAATCGCGGGTCGGCTGCGTGTGTGTGACACTTTCGTTGGGCTAGAAAACTCCGCGACATTCCGGACATCCGGACTATCCGGACTGTGTGCAAAGAGCGCGCCTACGTAGAAAAAACGTAGAGGATCTCTTCTTGATTCGCAAATCTCGTCTCCGAGCAATCCGAGCGACAAGGCGAGAGAAACGCGTGCACGCGAAAGTCTACGATCCGACTGAGCACAGCGAATACTCTCTATCTCTCTCTCTCTCTCTATCTCTCTATCTCTCTATCTCTCTCTCTCTCTCTCTCTCTCTCTCTCTCCCCCTCCCTCTCGCGTGTACTCTCGCGCGGTCGTAACAAGAGCAAGATCAACGAGCGAAACGGCGTAATGCGTAGTAGACACGCGTGTAGAATTTGCGAATCAGGTAGCCCTCTTCTCAGCGGGCCATTCAGTACAATGACTAGACTGAAACTTTAGTTTTTTAGTTAACAAAATACATAGAGGAAAGCAACGGAAAGAACTGGCGGAGCCGCGTCGAAACTCTCTTTTCTTTCTCTCCGTCGCCCTCTCGTCGTCTCGATCGAGAACGATGCCGGACGGTGTCGGACGTTACAAACGTAATCTCCCGGTTTCGCGAGATAAGAGCGACAATTACATGTACAGATGTGTGTATGTATATATATAATATGTACGCACGTATATTGTTCGCGACGGACGCGCGCGCGCGCGCGTTTGTCCGCTCGCACGCGACAATGAAAGGCGCGCGCCGGACGTACTCAGATCTCATCCCGTCGCGGTGGCGAGAGAAAATGTCTCGCTACTCGCTACTACTTCGCGCGTTATACAGATATACATATATATATATATATATCTGTATAATTTCACATTTAACCAACGGCGAGTGGAATAGAGAGAGACATAAATGCGAGAACATTGGCCATCGAGAGAACACGAATATAGAGGAGCCAAGTGTGAAGCGGAAACTCCACCCTCCAACTACAACGCTACTACTGTCCGTTCCTTTCCGTTTTTTTTTCCTTTCCTTTTCTTTTCTTTTCTTTCTTTCTTTCTTTCTTTCTTTCTTTCTTTTGCTTTCGTCCCATCGCAACCCATCGTCAAGAGAAGTATGCATATTATATGTACACACACACGGAAACACACACGTACACTCGTATCTAGGAGAATTACTCGTATATCCGAAATATATAAGAGACAAATGCAGCAAAATAGATTAAACATCAAATTCCAGAGAATGGTTTTCGTGTTAGCAAAACGTTAGGTTAAAGCATTAACAACCTACCAGACAGATATATGAAACAAAAAATTGAACAAAAAAGAAAATCATGTATGTATATATATATATATATATATATATATATATATACATATATATATACATTAATCAAATGAACAAAGTATCATCGCGCGCAAAAAGTATACCATAGGCTCACCATAGAAGCGTGCAAAACATACGGAAAATGTATCGCGACGAAACGTAAAACGGGTTGACGAGTAACTGGAAACAAAATCGCTCGCGGCAGCGTGTTAAATGGCGACCTCGGCCAAGTATTTTGCCCCGCACACCCTCGTACGTAAGAATGTGTGATCGCGATCGTGCTTCTCGATTATCTCGATAACTGACTGAAAAGTGACTGACAACGTAATCGTTTGCAACAGCATTAGTTAGGCAACGATAATAATAATAATAATAATAATAATAATAATAATAACATGACGATAATAATAGAAATAATGATAATAACAATAATAGAAAAAAAAACAAATAATCATAACGATAACGTCAATAATACAAAAGTGAGATGTATATATAATCATAAATATATATTAACCATATTATAATAAACAATTCTTGCAATTGCGTAAGAGATAATTCGCTACGAACACAGAGTCTGGTCATGCAAATAATGGCCCGGGAGAAGGGGGATCGTTTGCTTGGGTGATTATCGGTGTTACTCGAAAAGTTACTCGATCGTACGCGTGTCAAGTGTGATTAATAGACCGAGAAACGTCGGTTTCTATTCGACGACGACAACGACGACAGCGACGGCGACGGCGGCGACGGCGACGGCGACGGCGACGGCGGCGGCGGCGGCGGCGGCGGTGGCGGCGGCGGCGGCGGCGGCGGCGGCGGCGGCGACGGCGGCGGCGGCGGCGGCGACGACGACGACGACGACGGTGGCGACGGCGACGACAGCGAAAATGACGACGTATAAGGTCCGTGTATCAGCGATGATAATACAGTGTCATCACCCAAGCGTTAGTGTGCTGCCAAAAGCCGACTCACCGTCGGTCTTGGTTCGCGTGCGTGAATTACAGGACCGAAACACACACATCCACTCACTACGGAAAGCTACGGAAAAAAAAGGAGTCCTCGGGTGATCCACGCCAGCGAACCAAAGTGACGAGGGCGGCCGCGGTGGCGAGACGGGGGGAGGGGGAGGGGCAGGCGGACGAGGGGAGATGACGGGCCGGTCGGACGGGTTTGGACAAAGTCAGCGGTTATCGGCAATATATCGTATAATAATGGATGTGGGATGTCGTATATAAGCCGTCAAATTAATAATATTCTACTGCAAATAAGTTCAACACTATGTCAACTGCGACTCCGCAACCATAACGACAGAGCTGGTCGAATATGTATAACAGCTGAGAGACTTGTTGTTTTCGACAGAGAACAACGCGCGTGACGATCGTCGTTGTTAGACGCGATCGTCGACCGTGTGCGGGGAAAGCTTTGTCAGATGGAGATGATTCGTTGGCACATTCGTATTCTACGCTCGAGGGCATACATATATGTATATATATATATATATATTATTTTTTTATCACATATATATATATATATATATGTCGCGAGAGAAATCACCAAGCGTGAGCTCTCGCGCTGCGCTTCTTTCTCAATTGTCTGTGTCCATGTATCCTATATGTTATATGCTTCGCTTCACGCGCGCGTGCACTCGAAACTTAATTGCGATCGAAAGCGATCGGTGCGAGCAGCGAAAAAAAGACACTCCGTGTCGTTTCTTCTTCGTCGTCGTCTCTGCTCCCTCCTCTTGTCCCGTTCGAGCAAAGTAACGCCGGAAACGAGGAAATTTCGATCGAAAGCCGCGTGTACTTTTGCTCCTTGAATCGTGTCGGTCACGCCAACTCTCTCGGGAGAGCCGGGGTCGAGATTGCGAGTAGTCTGATTTTTCGCGCGCGATCTGGCACGTCGCGAATTGAAAGCGCTCGAGAGTTTGCGTCGATTCCCCGGCACGGCACGGCACGGCACGGCACGGCACGGCACGGCGGTAGCCGCTTTTACGCTTTTCACGGTTACGTGTTAACTCGAAAAACGCGAGGAGCGCGTCCCTCCTAAGTGGAAGAGGCAAGGTTTGACACCGCGTCGCGAAGGACACGTTCTCTCTGAAGCGATACTCTGAATCTACACGTCTTTATCGTCATCATCACGCCATTGTCATTGGCCCGATGGAAACGGCCGGACAGCCCTCTCTCGGAGAGAGAGATTTGTCGATTTTCACTCGACTTTTCGACTTTTCGCGTCTCGACAGAGAGCGCTTCGCGCACGCAACACACACGCGATACACGCGATGATGCCAACCAGGGTAGAAAACCGTAATCGTGTTTTCGGAAGGAAAAGAGATGCAACGGTTGTCGAAAACGACGAAACGCGCGATTCGGTCGAGCAGTCAGTCAGCCGGTCTCTGTCTGCGTCTCTGTTCGCGCGGAAACGCTCGAAGCGCTCGATACGAAAGTGCGGGATTTTTTAAGCTTTCGAATATATAACGTTCCGAACGCAGTATTACTACCGAACGCGGCGAGAATAGTTTGCAATGCTGCGACGTGACCCGTAAATTCACGCGACGAATCGAGCGTCGCCTATAATCGCGAGTGAAAAGAGACACGAGAGAGAGAAAACAAATTGCGTTTCGAGTATCCTCGTTCGATTCGAAAGTGCGGCTCGTGCTCCCTGGTTGCATGATACGCGCTCCCTTCGTGTCAACAGCGGTGTAATATTAATGAACATGCAGTATACACGCCCGACACTCGTAAACAGCTGTCTCCATATCGTAATTGCTACTTGCGGTAAGATGCACTGCGAGAGTAGAAAAAAAAAAATATATAAACAAATAGATACTGAGAAGCGGTACAAGGATGGAAGTTGCTCTCAGACGTAGCATTAGATTCAGTCGTAACGTATACAAAGAAATGTTTAAAAGACATCCCGACAATATATCCTCATCCACAAATAACGCGCAACGTTAATCAGACAAGCGGCATCAAGACAATGGCATGATAGATATAATAATATATATGTGTATATGTATATATAATATATATAGATACATGGCAAAAGTACTAATCATACTAATTACTGTATAAGAAGCGTGCATCTCTTTCTTCGTGAATAAGTCTGTGACGTGATGTACATGTATAGCGTGTGTGTGTGTGTGTGTGTGTGTGTGTGTGTTCCTGTATCGTATCTCTGTATGTAATGTGTGAGGGGGCTGAGGGTTGAAGGGGGGGGGCAGAGGTGACGACAACGCTTTCGAAATAGCATAATAATATAATTATTGGTATAATAATAATAAACAAACACCAGATAAGGCAGTGGTTATTCGCAGTTATAGTTGCGGTGAGCAGTCGTGAGGGAGATGCCCCCAAAAGCTACGTGTTAGCCAAAGTTACCGAGAGATGCGGATTATCGAGAGGCTCGCTCTTTTCGGGTCCATCGTGGCACACAATGAAACAATAACAATACTCCTTCGCTGTCCTGAGATAGCGAGGGGGACTAAAGACTCGTAGAGAGCGATACCCAATGCGCATCCTTCTCCCCCGTTAACCTTGAAGGTTAGCAGCAATAAAAGTTCGAGCTTGCATCAAAGCGCCGCGTGACTTGAAGCTTTTCGAGTCGGACAGAATTATCGGCCGGAATCGTGAAATGGGGAAAGACGAGAGAGAGAGAGAGAGAGAGAGAGAGAGAAAGTGAGAGTGCAAAGTGTTGACGTACGTCAAGTTCGTCATTCGCGCAATCCTCCGGAGAGGAGAATGCGAGAATGAAGAAGACGCTGAATGATTTTCTGAAGCGCGATCCGGACGAATCGAGCGATAAAGCGCACAATCCTGCAGGATCCTCCAGGAAATCGAAGGTCAAGCGGAGTCGCCGAGTCCGGCGCCGACGGTTTCGCGCGCTACAACTTCCCCTCGACCGGTCCCGCTCGGCCGGCGCTTCTGATGCAAACTCGAGACCGGATAAAAAACTGGTTACAATAATGAGTCTACCTGTCCGCAGCTGTCTGTGTAGACGACACAGTGAGCGTTTTGGGGGACCACTTGGGCCCCGACAGTGGCTAAGGCTGCTAAGGCGATCCACATGCAGCAAACGAGGCAGTGTTCGTACGGTATTTTTTTCAAGTATCGGTAGTATTTTTTTTTTTTTTTTTTTTTTTTTGGTGGTCGTTCATTATACCACAGTCGGTTGAATTCGGTGGAGAAGGCACCAGATCAAAGGAGACACGCGGTGGAGCGTGCCCTCGGAGCATCCAGGTACATGTACGACAGTGAAAATCGAATTTGTTTTATACATTGTGTTTGGTTTTGTTGTTTTTTTTTTTTTTTTTTCAAATTTTAATGCGCATCGTTCGTTTCGTTTTACCATTGTTGTTATTTTTGAAGTTTAAATTTTTTTTTTTTTTGGTTTTTGGTATCAAACACACTCCATAAATGAACATGATGAGTCGTCGGTTAAATTGCAGTCGCAATCGTTCGTCGTTTGGATTAATGCGCGCGCAGGAACATGCCGGGACGCGGAGCGCGCGTGAAAGAGCGCGGAAAAAATGAAAGCGTAAATTACGGAAAACGAAAGTGTAAATCGTCGGCTTGACGTCGCGCCCGCGTATTTCGTTTCGTATTGTATTGTTTTTTTTTTTTTTTTTTTTTTTTTCCGTTCCCCGGGTTCGTTTACGCGCACGGTCGTACGAACGGAGAGACAGAGAGACAGACACAGGTAGAAAGAGAAAGAAAAAAAGAGAGACAGAGAGAGAGAGAGAGAGAGAGAGGGGGGAAACAATTTCGGTACATTGGTTGTCACACGTAGAGCAGAGGACACACGTGGGTCCGCACGCATTATTATACATTTTTGATTCGGCGAACGACGACGCCATGTACCATGGGTATGCCGCACGCGCGGATGTCAGTTTTTTTTTTTTTTTTTTTTTTCCACGGTTTCGGTTTTGTCCACGGGTGGTGATGACGATGAGAAGAAGGCGTCGGAGTGATGCGATGACGGCGGTGCACACAACCAAAGCCAGCGCGTTTCAAGAATATTCATTATGATCGATATATACGTGTATACGTCGGAATCGGGAGATTGTATTTAGATATATGCGCGGGGGGGCACGGAGGAACGATGAGGCCCGTCAGGTAGAGGCGAAATCGGGCGGAAGGAAGAAAAAGAAATCAATCAACCAATCGAACCGAGGTACGTGATAAAGCGGTGAGGAGAAGTGCGCGTTATGTCAGGTCGCGCCACCCGTCGACGACGAGAGAGCGTGTGTATGTGTATGCGTGTATACGCGTCACGTGTGTTTTTATCGGCATTATCATTTCGTTTATTTTTCGTTTTACCACCGCAGGCCGGCATTTTCCGAGTCGGTCCGCGCGCGAGTTCGCGTTCGAGTCCGTATGCCGTTTTATTTCGTTCATTCGTTTGTCAAATATTTATCGAACGATTCGGCGGCGGGCAGCGACGGACGGAACGAGTTCAGCGATTGCGACGAATTAAAAAAAAAAAAGAGAGAAGGAGGGGGGAGAGAGAGAGAGAGAGAGAGAGAGAGAGAGAGAGAGAGAGAGAGAAAAGGAAGAGAGCACCGGCGACCAAAGTTCGTCCGCGATTGATTAGCAAACGCGAACGAAATAATTGGCGATTTGCGCCGAGTTTTTTAAGTGACGCGCGAAACGAACGAGATCGACGATGTGTGTGTGTGTGTGTGTGTGTGTGTGTGTGTGTGTGTGTGTATACGCGTCGTTATTGTTACGCATTTGTCGCGTTTTATATGACACGCGCGAAAACGCATTTTTACAGGCGGGCCACGAGCGAATGCGTTATTAGCGTCGGTGTGTTAAACGATGATTATTTTTTATGATGTTTATTTTTGTTTTTTGCATTTTCCGTCGCACGAAGATTGTCGATGCGCGAGCGATAGTAGAAGAATCGTTCGCGTGGTGACACAATCGCCACATGAGAGTGCAGTTCGATCGGTGGGATCGGGGCGAGGGAGTAGTGTAGGCGTTTACAGTGGCGATCGTGGAGCGTTTCGGGGATCAATTAAGGGATTAGGCCGACGCCGCGCGGGCCACCACAGGGACGGACGTCGGGCATCGGTTCCGGGATCGGTCGGGATGAAAGCGTCGGTGGTGGCGAGGGGGAGGGGAGGGTGGTGGTGGTGGTGGTGGATCGAACGGGGCGGTGGAATGCGTGGTAAATTTTCGGTCGAAAGACGTGCGGTGGGTGGTATATCCAGGCGAAGAGGGCAAGCATGAAACAGAAAGTTGAAAGAGAGACCATGAACGATCGCGTCTCAACATGCATTCGGCGACGGTGGCGTGTGTGATGCATTATATATGTATACACACATATATATATGCATGCGTGTGTAGGTGGTGGCTGGGCATTCATCTCGCACAGAGGCCTGAGGCTCTATTCCGTGTGGACGCGTATCGAACGCTAAATATGCCCTTCTGTTTCATAGCCAAGCTGAAGCTACGTTTTACGAGCCGTGACGCTCGTACGAGAAAGACGCAGCTTGGAATGGTAAAAGGGCCTACTCGACGTTCGCTGGGCATATCCCGGCGGAATAGGCACACATCCTGGCACATCCGCGCTAACGAAACAGACAAGTCGCTCACGCCGATTAGTCTCCATGCAGCATCGCGCGCTGCAAACGCACACCAAACGCGGCCAAGAGCCGGCGTTGTGTCGCATCGGTATTATTAATCACACATTTAAACACTGTATATCCGGGATATATACATATATAATGTATGTATATGTATATGTATGTATACATACATACATATGTTTATATATATATATATATATGCACATGTACATGTATATGTATATATATATGTATGTATATGTGTATATATATATATATATATATATATATACGGCGACACAGCGACAGTATTTCGCTCTCTCGTGCATTCCATTCTACGAAGCGTTGCGTTTGTATGTAACACCGTGTTCGCATGCGCTGATAAGTATGTATGTCTGTATCGAGTTTTGTCGAGGCGACAGTCTGACCAGGCAATAACAGATACAGATGACTTCCCATTTGGAGCGATTAATGCATTTCCGGGGAGCAGCGAGTCTCTAAATCCGCGTAAATCAAGATCACCCGCGGCTGGAAATCGTCGCGTATTTCGGCTATTCCGAACGTTTTTAAACCTCCGAAATTATCTACTTCCGCTTCAGTGTGTGTGTGTGTGTTACGTTATTTTGCCTTTCCCTCCGCGAATTCGAAATCGATCACGAAGTTGCGGAAATGTTTTGTCAACTCGAGCGGCAGCGAGCGAACAACAAAGTACCGATGTACGTACATTTTCCGTAATTTCTGACCTTTTTCGCTACGAATTTTCAAACGAGTTATACCACGCGCTAACTCGAACGTTGTCTCTCGGTCCGGAGGTTTAAACACTCTCCTTTCGCCAGTTCGACTTCCACGTTGGTTCCCCGGGAAATGCATTCGGCACGCAAATCGGGGCCTACTTATTCTAGACTAGAGCGCGTCGCACGCGGACAAGAGACGCAGGATACTGCGGGTAAGCACACAAATCTGCGTCTACTGCGAGATGTCTGATTTTACGTCAGCTCTAAGTAGCTCATCGAATGTGTATGTATGTGTTATATATATATATATATATATATATATATATATATATATATAGCTGAAGCTCTTGCATAATGCGATTATACGGTAAAGTGCTACTGCGATACTTACATTGGAAAGTGTGCGCTGCAGGTCGAGTTTTAATATTCGGCGCAGGTATGCGGCTATGCGAGAGAGAGAAGCGTCGCTTGCGTTCAAATTCTTTAGCACAGAAGAAGATAGATAGCACGCAGCGCGAGGTAACAATATCGATCGATTATTAATGGCGGAGTCTGTGGGCGGGGCGGGAGGAGGCGTGATGGGGCTATGTTACAGAAGCACATGTAAACGTTTGATTAGCCACGAACGCGAGAGACGGACTTACTCGTGTGTCATGGCACGCTGCTACCAGGAGGAGACTCCCCGCTAAAAATGCGGCGCCTCTCTCTCCTGCTTCTGCTCCTCCTCCTCCTCCTCCTCCTCCTCCTTCTCCTCCTTCTCCTGCTCCTCCTTTTTCTCTTCGATACAACGAGCGATCACAAACGCGTAATGTACAAAACGAGCGATAATCAGACACCGCCGTCGTTCGACCGTTTAACGACGTTTAAGGAGAGAAAGCCAATCACACGGCAAAGTGCGCGCACCGGTTCGCGCAGCGACAAATCGTCCTCGTATGACCGCGAGATTAATTCGCTCCGTGCGTGCACGGAGCGGTAAACTTCCGTTTACACAGGGCTGGGCGTCGACGAGCGCTCATCGACAGATTGCACCGGCCATCCTGAGCTTTTCTCCCCGCAGCGGATGGCTGCCGCTCTCTCCTCGTCATCGTCGTCGTCGGGAGTCCGGGAAATTCGTGCACTACCGAGCGGCCGAAGCTTGCCACGAGCTATCTCTCGGCTCATTCGTTCGGTCGTTCGCGATCGCGACGACGACGAAACGAATGATGAACCGGGGGCGGAAAATGCGGGCCGCGCTGCTCGGCGGTCATGGGATTCGCGTCGCTCGCGAAATGGCTCTGGCTCGCCGAACGTGGCGAAAGCGGCAAACGCGGGTCGCGCGAAACTAGAAGCAGCTAGCGAAGTGATCTTGCTGCGATAAGGTAAAAGACTGTGGCACTCGCTGTGCCAACGGACGCGCGAGCGAACGACGAGAGCGGCGATGCGATGCACTCGCGAGGTCGCCTCGCGCCGTCTCTTAGCTTATCGCGCAGAGTTGCAGCCAGCAAAGATGGACGATTCCAAAATGCCCCGCGACGGGACAGTCCGTGTCCGCGATTGCACCGTGTATAATGTGATAGTTACACCGATGCAATTGTGCAGGCGGTGTCACGTCTTTGGAAGCGTCATCTTCGACCTCGGCGGTTACTCGTCGAGATTCTATATTTACAGTAGGCTCATATATTGTGCCAAGCGTTATGTGAAGGAGCTCGTATTAGGCACACACGCACATCTTACGCAGGCTTAGCGATGAGTAACAAAGAAAGCCGGATGGGGAGAGCGGGAAGGGAACGCGGGATTAACAGCAGTGAGAGGGGGGTGTATCGGTAGAGAGAGAGAGAGAGAGAGAGAGATGAAAAAGGTCGCAATAAGAGAAACGAGTGCGTCTTATATCTCACAGGCATTTAATTGTCAATTTCGGAGCGCAATAAACTCTTTTCTCTTCACCTCGAACAATCGTCGTGTCACAACTCTCGTTGGTTTGCCAAAATTCCAAATTGTCTCTCGAGAAAATGGCGAAGCCGTGTATTGCGAACCAGCGCAGCGTAATACATCAGCTCTCCAATCTCATTAAAACAGCGCGTCGTCGCGTGTCTGGAGTTTTGTCACTCGATATCCGCTTGTCGGCGGTGAAATCGGCGATCGAATCGACACGAATATTCAAACATTGTTGCCGGGGAGACACTCTGTATCGCGGTATACGCCAAGTTCGAAATAAACGATTCGCGAGAGCGCGACAAAACGCGATAAGAGCGCGCCGACCTTCTTCTCGAATGACGATCGACCCCACCTTCGCCTGGGAGACGGAGCTCAATGTGGCGATTGCGAGAGGCTGGATCGGGGACATATCGGGCTGTGTGTATGTCTGTGTGTGTGTGTGTGTGTGTGAGACAGGCATCGATATATATATATATATATACATATATATATATGTATATAAATAATATACCCAGATACATTTCGTCCGTGCCTGAAGAATGTCGCGAGTAAAGCGCGGGACAAGCCATGAGGATGATAAACGGGAGAGGTCGAGGACGATGGATGAGAGATTACGGGAGGAGCGGGGAGGGCGGGGGGGAATACGAAGAGGACAGAAGGACAGCGAGTAGTACAGGGCACTCTCTTACGGTGTTGGCCATAGTAAAAGCGGCTAACATCTACGTGGCCTTAGAAAAGACCGCGTGCTTGGCGTGTGATTCGCGTGCTCTCAGCGGCAAAAATAGTCGCAAGGAATCGCAGGAACTAGAGAGAGAAAAAGACGGCGCGGAAAGTTCCGCCGAGGGCACGCGACGGTGAAGGGACGACGCCCCCCGTTTATGAGAACGCCAGCGCGGCGAGGAACGTCGAGGGTAAACGCAGGGTGTAAACGAGGTGTTCGCGAGAAATCGCGATCGGCGTAGATCCGTCGGCCGATCGGTTGACGGAACACCGATCGCGACATACACGGTACATACGCAATTACAGCGTGATGTAACAATGATGATGGTCGCGATGAGAAAAGAAAAACTAAACGACAAAGGAGAAATAAAGAGAGAAAGAGGTACGCAAAGAAGGAGAAAAGAAAATGTGTGTGTGTGTGTGTGTGTGTGTGTGTGTGTGTGTGTGTGCGTGTGTGTGTGCGTGTGTGTGTGTGGTTATACGATACAAGCACCGAGTCGAACAGATTTCCGAATGAGAGGAGATTAAAAACAAGGGAAGCAGGAAGCGAGGCTAAGACTGTGAGCAATAATGGGCGCAATATCGAATAATACACAAGTATATATATAATATGTATATATAAATATAAATATTACAAGGGATTATATAGCGAGTCTCGGGAAGTTCTGTTTCACTTTTCTTTTATCATAGAAAGAGATGAAATAAGAAGAAGCATTAATAAAACACAAATATTCATGCATTTCTCAAGCATTATTATTACAAATACTGGCTGACTCCTTGACAAACCCCGTGAGCGTGCACGCGCAAAAACGCAATTCGAGACTTGCGAGATTGACTATTATATCTCTCTATCTCGAGTCGGCGCAAGCTGTCGCGTTTCATCAGTTTCCCCCGTGACTTGCACGAGGGACGACGTCGGTCTCCTAACGCATCGGCGCGCACACACATAAACGCGAGTACACACAACACGGTGATTCGAAGTGAATTCGGACAGACTCGGAGTAGACCTTGCGCGCGAGCGCGTACAATCGTTGAGAATGCACCGAACTTTGTAGCATCTGCATTCCCGGGGTCGTGAGTAACGTATTCTCGAGATATAATTGTAATTATACATATGTGTAAGTCTGGTTATGTGTATGTATGTACGTATGTATGTATGTATGTATGTATGTATGTATATATATAATGTGTATATACACATACATATATATATATATATACACACACACAAATACACACACACACACACACACACACACACACACACATACGTATGTATGTTTACATACATGTATGTATAACAATGTACAATGAAGAATTTATATATATATATATATATATGTATATGTATATACACATATACGTACATGTATATATGTATATACATATATACAGAGAGACAGTATACAGTACACAATAATAAATAGTATCTGTATGCGTGTGTATAGTTGTGTCGTAAAACATTCTTTTTCTCTTCTTTACTTCTCTCAATATCGCGTAATAGCGCACTCGAGTGTAGCGACACAGTGTGTCGAGTGCGCGTGTGTGGTCTCATGTATATACACATACATAGTCCACAAAATAATATCTCCCGTATGTATGTATACGCGCGTAATTTAGTTAACTTGCGCGACAAGTGTATATATATATATATATATGTATATATATATATATATATATATATATACACACACACGTCCTATTCTCTTCTTCTCCATTTCGTTGCATCGCGTCAACTTACATGCAACAACGACGATACGTG